CACAGATATTTTTCCATTGATTTTTAGAGAGAGTGGAAAGGAGGGGGAGAGACGGAGAGAAAGAGAAACATCGATGTGAGAAAGACACATCGACTGGTTGCCTCTCGTACATGCCCCCACCAGCACTGGGGATTGAGCCTGCAACCGAGGTAGATGCCCTTGACTGGAATTGAACCCGAGACCCTTCAGTCCGAGGGCTGATGCTCTAACCACTGAGAAAACGGGCTAAGGCCTGGCTACTACCCTTTCATTGGCCGTGGGAGAGGGATGAAATGGTGTTCTCTCATCCAGAACAATTGATACAAACTGAAGTGGGGGCAAAGGTTGCCAGTGACCGACCTGAAACCATAGGACAAAGCTCATCATCACACACACACACACACACACACACACACACACACACACACACACAGCTCTGGGCTAGAAAGGCTGCCCATTTATCAGTGGTACAACATGTGACAAAGAAGTTGGGTTAATGAGGGGTCCATTCTTTCGCAGCAGAGTCTACAAGTCTTGTACCACCTGGTTATAAAGGGTCATGTTTTGGCAGGACCAATAACAGGATGGGTCTGAAAGAAACAACAAGAAGAGATTTAAAAGAAAAAATAAAGTTCCATTTTCTTGGCTAAAAAAAAACCCCAACAAACCACACAAAAACATTACCACTTGCATAATTACAAAAGGCCTGACTTAGCAACCATTCATGAGAAAAAAAGACCTGGGTTTTTTGTTGGTAATAATACAGTGTTAAAAAAAAAATCCAATGAAATCTTAAATTGCATTAGTATAACGTCCAGATAAAGGAAGCAAAAATAGCCCTGGCGATGTGGCCCAGTCGGTTGGAGTGTCATTCTGTACACTAAAAAGGTCATGGGTTCAATTCCTGGTCAACACACATACCTAGGTTTGGGGATTTTGGTTGGGACATGTGCAGGAGGCAACCAATTGATGTTTCTCTGTCAACATTGTTTCTCTCTCTCTCTGTCATCAATAAGCATATCCTTAGGTGAGGATTTTTAAAAAGGTTTTTTAAAAGGGAGCAAAAACAAAAGATGGTCTCACTGAACTCAGCAGTGGTCAGGCCTCATCTGGAGGCTTAGTGCCTTTTAAGGAGACACACACACAAATGAGCATGAATCCAGAGAAAGACACTTAGGCTGGAAATCTTGTCACCTAATATGTAGTCAAAAGTACTTGTGAGCTTGGCCGAAAGAGAAAATGCTGTCAGGAATGTGTCTTCCGGCACTTAAAGGAGGACCATCCAATGAGGTAGTAGCCTTAAGGTTTGTTAATCTATAGGACAAGCTGAGAACTAGATTTCAGTTTAATGAAAAGCAGGCATTTTAAAGAATCAAATCTGTATGACAATAAAATTCAATACTTTCCAAAATCATGAACTGTCCATCACTGAACACATCCTAGTGGATGTCAAATGGCCCTGTAATGGAGTGGGGAGGGGAGCTGAAGGTCTTCCCAGCCCCACGAGTCCATAATCATCTCAGCCACCCATGTTCCTACCTGAACTCCATCCCTTCCCATGTCTTCCAGGGTTTGCTCCCACAATCTCGCTGTCTTCTCTGGCATCTTAACTTTTTCTTTCTCCAAAGATTCTTTCCAATTTTTATGTGTAAAGAAGGAAACAACTTCCCTGGGTCTTTTGGTTTTGCTTAGAGTGGAGTTTGAAACGGCATTCTACTTTCTTTGGGGGACTGCCTTCCTGCCCCATTAGGGGTGATCATATGACCCTAGCCTGACCTATTAACATTTTGAACATAGTTATTTCAAGGATGGGCACATGACCCACGTTGTCCAATGAAAATCAGTTCTAAGATTTTTACTGAAACTATTAGGAACTGCTAGGGCCACTTATCTGTTCATCACAAAGCTGGAGTTGCCAGAAGCCAGCACGTGGAAAGAGGCTATAAGAGATGGAAGCCAGCACAAAAAGTGGGTGTGAGGGTGGGGAAAGGGAAAGAATATCCTGATGATATTGTCCAATCTCCAACACTTCCCAGTTACACAAGCCAGTACATTCCCTCTTTGGTTTAGGCCGCTGACTCTTGAAGCTAGAGTAGTCTGAACAATATGCTTGTGCTTTCAGTTTCTTTCTAACTTCCCTCTTTTCTTCTCACTCCTTTGCATGGCTTCCAGGGCCCATAGCAACTTGGCCCTGCCCACCTCTCCGGCTTCATCTCTCCACAGCCCTCTCCACTTTGCTGTAGACACACAGCCCTGGTAGGGAATGGGCAGGCTGCCTCCGAGCCTGCCTGGAGTCTGACCCCCTTGCAGTGTTTTTGCAAAGAACTTTCTTTTCACTCCTAAATGTTTTTGTCTCTGAGTCTGCCTTGCACATTGACCTGTCTGTTTCTCTCTGTGGCTTCTCCATTTTTCTGTTCTTTAGATTAGAATCTTGGTAGTCTAAGACATACTCCCCATCTGGGTTAGATGCTGGTGATATAACAGGGAAGTCAACGTTCACAGCCCCTACCATCTTTTCTTACATCCCGGGGCGGGAGGCGGGGGGCGCAGGGAGGGGTGCTAACTGAGGCAGCTTTATATGAATCATAATTCGGAGAGAATCTAAGCAGCTGCTCTTCTGAACCTTGATTTCACACCGTGTAGAAAAGCCATCATCATACTCTCAACAGCCACATTTTCCCATTGCAGATGTATGATATAAAATTCAAAAGGAACAGGACATAGTGTGAAACTCTCTTTTTACTTCCCTGGCTCAGTTCCCATACCTTCAGCACCCCTCCCCCAGGCAACTGTTATTATCAGTGTCAAATGTATCAATCCCAAACAAGTTTGTGCCTGTTCAAGCAAATGCAGATACATATATATATCCTCCCCACCCCATCCCTTTCACAAGTCGTAGTCTTTGAACCTTGCTTTTTTACTCAATATATCTTAGAGGAATAGTATGTCAGTACCTACTGTTCTTTTTAATGGATTAGTAATACTCAACTGTATGATGCACATATATTATTTAAATAACCTCCTATTGATGTACCTTACATTGTGTCCAGTATTATGCTCTTACCAACAGATCTGCAAGTATTTTCTGAGTTATATATTATTGCATACACATTGTGAATGATCTGTAAGATAAATTCCTTAAAGTGGAATTGTAGGGTCAAAGGATATGTCCATTTCCAAATTGATATCTGTTGTCTATTTATTCCCCAAAGTGAGCATATAAATTAACAGTCTATGAACAATAGATGAGTGCTTGTTTCCCAACAGCCTCTTGACAAAGTCTATTGTTAAACATTTTGGTTTTTGCAAATTTGTTAACTGGCATATTCTATTGTGAGGTTAAGTATCTGTTTGTGTTGAAAGTCCACTTGTATTTCCTTTCCTTTTCTAGAACTATTTGTTCATGTCTGCTACCCATTCTTCTGTTAGATTAGTGACCTATTGATTGGTGTAAGCTCTTTATATTTTATGGAAAGTAGTCTCTTTCCTGCCATATATATTGCATTTTTTTAGCTTGCTATTTAACCTTTCATTTTGTTTATGGGATCTTTTTTTTTTCTTTTTACTTTGTCTTGTTTATTTTTGCCAAGAACATGACTCTTTTCTCTTTTTTCATCCTTAATATATTCAATCTTAAAATTTATTCCTTCTTACGATTTCTCTGATATAAAGGGAGAATGAACAGAGCATTCATAGTGATGAAATACAAGTGACTAAATAAGCACATAAAAAGTTCAACCTCACAAATAAAAAATGCAAATTAGGTTTTATATTTTACTCCAGCAAATTAGCAAAGGTAGAGTGAATCCAGTGTTGCTATAATCTGTTGGCAGGAGTGCCAATTAATCCATACATTTGGGAAGCAAATTTTCAGTAAGTAACAAGAACTCTGGAAAAAAAAAAAAAGCTTTATGCAGTCATGGCATGTCTAGGAATTTATCGTAGGGTTAAAACCATCAAGATGGACAAAGATTAATGCATAGAGATGTACTTCTACCCAGCACTGTTTTACCAGGAGAATTGATGGCAATTTGAAAGCTGTTGTCTGACAAGTAAATCACAGTGTATTCATACCAGCTAAGGCCACACAACTACAAAAATGAAGCTTAGAGCTATGAAGGCCTGGGAAGATTATCACACTATTATATTAAAGACATGTTACAAAATTGCTTAGGCAGTGAGAGCTCAAATGCATAAAAATATATGGAAAACTAGAAAGAAATATGTCAAAGAGGTGCATGGTATTTTTCTTTTATGTGATTTCTCAAATTTTACAATGTACATGTATTATATAGTCTGCTAAAAATCAAAGTCAAAATTAGCACATACACAAAAAATGTAAACCTTTTTTTCTTTATCTCTTTCTACTGTGACCATAGGCCTTCATATGTTTTTGGGGTTTTTTTCACATTGGTATTATTGTAACGGTCTCTATGACCCAGTCATCTTTCCTCCTCTGGTGTCCTCCAGTATTCTGTTAGATTACTTGAAAACATTGTCTATTGTTACTCAAGACCCCACAGCAGCTTCCTGTTCCCTATTGCATGATGTTTAAATTACTCAGACTAGTACACCAGCCCTTTATAATTTGGCCCCGCTCTACTGAAATCATCCAAGTGTATTTCCTTCTATTTCCAGGAAAGCTCAGTACCCTAGATAGAGTGCCCTGGTTATTACTTGCCCCACCCCATGCCCTTTCTTTGACCCTGTTCACTCTGTTCACTGTTCTTGTAACTGCTTTCCTCATGCTCCCTTTGTCCCCAAATCTTACTCATTCTCAGGAGGTTCCATCTCATCCATATCAACCTTTCCCCTCACCCTTGGCTGAACTCTCAAAGCACATCCTTTAATCTCAGCCTCAATCTAAGGCTCCACAGCTCTGCCATCGTTGCTTGTGTGTGAATATTGGCTTCCTAACTGTTTTGAAGGCTCTGTGAAGACAGGCCACACTAATCAGAACCTTCTTTTCTCTTCCCACTCGGGTTCTGCTCATTGCTAAGCAGAAGGTAAGGCCTGGCTGACCGGTGAGGAGGCTGCTGTGATGAGCAGCTTCTTGGGCAGTGTCTTCTTTTCTCCTTTCTTCTGTTCCTGCCTGGACACCTGACTTCCGAGGAGGCCCTGCCCAGTGGCAGAAGCAAATTAGAGGAAGCCCTAGAACAGTGGGGAGCTCTTGGGGGGAGCATTGAGGGAACTTTAAAAATATGGCTGTTTGCTCTCCCCCTGCCCCTCCCCACAGCTGAGGTTTAGAATTAACTGGCCCAAGGTGGGACCAGCATTGATATATTTTCTTAAGCTCCCTAGCTGGTTCTGATGGCTTCACTACCCAGTCTTACTCCTTTTGAGCCCCAGCCCTTTTGGCATGCACGCATTCCGGCACTTTTCTGTCTTGTTTCCAGGCAGGAAGCCATCCTAGAACTGGCCAGAGACTCCAAAGAGAGGCAGTCTTTAGATAAATCCTTTGGCATCAGCGAGAGCCTTTGTTGTTTTTCAAAGGTGTTTGCTTTCAAATTGACAACTGTCTGCAGTGGAGCCTGCTCTGAAGATTGCCGTGCCTGCGCTGCCTTCCAGTCTAGGCTCTAGATAAGCTCATGGGCAGACAGACCAGACGAGGGCTAAAATAAACTCAGACACCCCCAAACAGAACGCTGTTGTTACACAGTACAGCAGGGTGATTAAAGCAGCCTGTTTCATATGGAAATGCAGTACGTTATTTGTGTGGCAAAGTGAGAACAAAATGTCCAAGAAAAGAGAATACATATGTACAGATCGGAAAACCTGAACCATTATAAAAGTTTTACTAATGTATCAGTACGTAGCTCCCTTTTTATATAAGAACAAAACAACAGCAGCAGTAATGATAATGATGAACAACTTTTAGCACTAACTGTGCACCAGGTACTCGATCTACAGGTTCTATCTGGATTGATTCATTTAATCTGACAACCCTACAAGATAGCTGCTGGTATTACCCTCGTTTTCTAAATGAGGAGATTGAGGCACTGCATTACTAAAGAACTTGCTAGCTGGTAAGTGGCAGAGCCAGGATTAGAAGACGTTCGGGGCTTCTGTTCTTAACAACTTACCAGGGCTAATTCTTAGTTCAAAGGAAAATTTGCTTTTTTGAAAATCCAAGGTTTCTCAAATATCCAAGTACACATTAAATATTTTCCATTAAGTTTTATAATCTTCAGTGGAAATTATTTCAAAGTATCCTGTAGACATCACTGCTTCCTTCAAGGACACTGAACACAATTTAACTTTTACTTAAAGCCTCCCTGTTAGCATCATAGACATTAATTTTGGGGGAGGCTAGATGGAGATTGGCAGTCTGACACTCTCAGGCTTTTTAAGGTTTAGAGTTAGGTCACGCTGATCCACGCACTGGACAATTGCGGTGTCTGTCTCCCCCGAAGCCCCTCCTACAGGTGACTGGCTGATAATAGTCCCTGCTCAGGCATTGGGCCAACAGCTGTGTTCTGATCTAAGCAAACTTGAGGCATCTCAGCCACAGCAGATGACGTGAAGAAGACCCCTGACCTCAGCAGCCCTGCTCTGGACCGGCCAGCAGTCTACTATATGAACCAGTGGGCAAAATTTAGCTAAAAATGGGCACGATGGTCCAGATTCTCCCTTCGGGGGGGTTTGCCCTGGGAAGTACTGGTTCGCAATGGGAGCTAAAAGAGTGTATAGAGAGAGCCCATGAGGCAGAGCAAGCAAAAGTGACAGGAAGCAGATAGCAGTCCTGAACAGAGGCTGTGAGGTGGGAAAGAATACCCAGCTGGCAATGGAGATGAGTACAGAGGTCACGGCCAAGATAAGGGGCAGGTGGAGATTGGGGACTGCCACATTCAGGCCCACCCAAAGACGTTGGCATTCCTAACAGTATGAAAGCACCGTGCTGTGCAAACAAACAACAAAACTGAGTCTGCTGGTTGTGACAAGAGCTGGCAGTTTACAGATTCCAAAGAGAGGATGAGGAAGCCAGGTTGGGGCAGGCAGAGAGACCGAAAGACCCCTGGGCGCAGCCAGAGGAGAGCTGAATCACATAAATGAACTGATCAGTAGGTGATGATGCACGAACTCCCGATGCTGAAGTCCTGGGTAGCATGGATTCTTGCTGGCGTCCTGGGTCCAGTCTTCCTCAGGTCTGGCTCCACTACACGCCTGTTCTTCCAGAGGCTTGGTGATTTGGCCTTTCGTGGTTCCCACGAGGCCCTGTGGGGCTGAGATCCTTGTGTGTGTGTGTGTGTTTTTTTTTAATTCCTTGGAACTCCTTCCCCTAATATTAGATGTAATTTGAGCTGTTCCTCGGAACAAAAAGAGCCTAACAAAAATACTCTACATGGCCCCAGATTGCTCTTTCCCCCGGCCTCCCCGCTCCCCCTTGGAATTATTGTTGTCCTATTTTTAGTTTTTCTGTTTCTTCCTTTGCTGCTAGGCTGTCAACCATCACTTTTTATTGCTGTAGTTGGCTTGCTTCTAGCCATTCTCTCTTTGTCATTAAGGCTACTTGTAGACAGGGCACTAGATCCACTAGCTTGGTGGGGCTAAATAAAGTAAAAGTAAACAGGTAACAGGAAGGCTGAATTTTATAGCATGCGACTATCTCAATATAGCTGTGATAAAAATTAAGTAAGCATTGAGAGCGTTTTAGTGTCACACGAGCTTTAGGATATAGTGTTTGGAAATGCACTTTGACTGTGCAGATGTCTTTCTTGCTTACTTTCTTACGTTTGGTTCCAGTCCAGTCCGTGACGGTCTTCCTGAAGTATCCCTTGGTTCTGAGGAACCACAACACACGAGCCAGCAGCGTAAAGGAAACAAGATTTATTTTAAGACATTACGCAGAACTCAACCGAAGAAAGTAAGCATGCAAGACAGCCTGTCTCTCCCCGATTCTGTCTCTCCATCTTTCCCTCTCTCCCTGGAGTTTCCTGGTTTCCTAACCTCACCTTGTCCTTGTTTCACATCTGCTCCACATTCCTCTCTGCGGACTATTCTGCTTCTCTGTCAGGTTTTTAGTTTCTTTTTCCTCCCAACACTGGCTTGCACATGGCTTTGGGGCTGCCATGCTGCTGATTTTGGCAGCTCTTCATGACCTCGCATCTTTAATGCCAACACCTTCTGATTCAGCCTCTCTGTGTCTGAGAATACGATTGACCTGTTTGGAGCTGTGTGTCTGTCTGCCCCTGGTCAAATGAGATGGTCAGAGAGCAGTGCCGGGCCCCCACTCCTGAAGGAACGCCCTTCCGGCCTGCAGGCCGCGCTCTCAGGAGAGTTTGGCAGGGAGGAAGTGACTGGCATTTCAACCAGAGTGAAATTTCTAAATTTCTGAGCTCTGATAGGTCCTGTGTTATTACACGTTTACTCTTCCTCTTTGTTATTCGCCGTTCAGCACTTACAGTCCTGCTAACAATAAACAAATTGTTCCTTGGTGCTATCACCTATCACCATCTAGTCTAGTCAGTAGTCATTTTGGTTTTCATATATGTACAAATACAAAAACATATTAAAGGTAGGTCTCCCCGTCAATATTTTTCTGTCATCTCTCAGGATCCTGTTACTCACTTATCTTCGTAAAACTGTTCTCTGGGTTAAACCAACAATGCAAATTCATTTTTAACAACAGAGCTGAAAGTTGTTCATGTTTCAGTAACAACCACTTTAAACACATTTTGGTTTTTATATATGTACAAATACAAAAACATATTAAAGGTAGGTCTCCCCGTCAATATTTTTCTGTCATCTCTCAGGATCCTGTTACTCACTTATCTTCGTAAAACTGTTCTCTGGGTTAAACCAACAATGCAAATTCATTTTTAACAACAGAGCTGAAAGTTGTTCATGTTTCAGTAACAACCACTTTAAACACCACATTGCATCTACACAGGGATGCTTTCCTGACCAACAACTTGTCACAAATGCCGGGGTGACTTTACAATTTGTCTAAAGCCACTACTTTCTACCATGTTCTTTTCACAAAAGTATGAAATAATTATGAGTCAACCATGGGTGGAAGCATTTGTTATTAGTTTTTCAAAAGATGCCAAGTGCTAGAGGAAATTTTTCTCCTAGGCCAAGAACAGTTCTATTTTAAAAACAATAAAATGCAAATTAAATGTTTCTTCATGTTTTAGTCTAGCATTTGAATGGTACTAAACAGTTTTCAAGACGTTTTCTCATGCATGATTGAACTTAATGTTCAAAATAAAGTTCTGGTGTTACTAGTATCATTTTATAGCTGGAAAATGAGCTCAGAGAAGTTATTTGACTTATTCAAATCACGGTGCTTTGTGCTTCAGATAAAAACTAAAGTCGTTTTACTCTAAATCTTGTGGTTTTGCATGACACTTTGCCCTTTCCTTACTTTATCCCTACGATTTTTGTGGGGAAGAGAGGCATCAGTATAAGTATTTCAAAATCCTCAAATTCTCAGTATACAGTCCTCAGAATAATCCTGATTTGTTTTTCTAACTCCAAGGCCCATACATGGATAATACTATAACAAAACTACCGCCTACTTATTTATGAAAAATTAAAAGTGATAGATTGAGGGTTACCACAGCCTAGTACAAAGTTTGATCTAGCCCCCACAGTTGAAATCACATACAGTATTTTAATTCAGTGTAACCTTTTCTAACTCTTTATTTTGTCAGGGATATAACATTAATTAGTGAGATTAAAATAAAATGCAAATCTCTAATGAAACCATTCTTGGACAGAATAACTCTCAATGCTATCTAAAAAGACCAGATTAGTCCTTGAAGTGATTGGTTGTGGTGGTTAAAAGAAGAAATCTTTTCAAAGGAGATAGGTGTGTTTGCTATTTATATGTACGTAGATCTTACTAACTACCCACGTGTTATTATTGCTAAAGTAGGCAAATAGGGTTTCTGAGGACACCCCCCACCCCCTTCACCCTTAGCAGTTCAAGTTACTCTAGGTATCCAAAAGTAATAAAAAAATTTTAGCTCTTTAAAAGTCTCTAATTCAGATTTTTCATTTATTTAGATTTTTCTGTCCACTAAGTCTAAAATGAGCAGAGTTTTGCTGTGTTTATTATTATACAATGGGCAGGCATTTGTTGAAATTTAAGTTGTCTGTGTGCACTATTTACTAAATGTTGTTAATATTACATTGGGTGCTTTATTACAGGATTCCCAGGACTGTGTTAAGCAGAGCAATTATAATAGTTTAGAGAGTATGAGCAAGAAACAACCCACATGTAATAAAATATGAAGAAAAAGAGGACACCTGGAACATGTGGGTTATTTTTATTTCAAATTAATTTTTTTAACTTTATTATTTTTTAAATTTATCTTTATTGTTGAAAGTATTACAGATGTCGCTTGTTTTTTCCCCCCCATTGACCCCCTTCATCCTGTACCCGCCCTCCCCAGGACATTACCACACTATTGTCTGTGTCCATGGGCTATGCATATATGCATATAAGTTCCCCAGTTAATCTTTCTCCCCCACCCCCACCTTCCCTCTGAAATTTGACAGTCTGTTTGTTCCATGTTTCTATGTCTCTGAATCTATTTTGTTCATCAGTTTATTTTGTTTATTAGATTCCATATATGAGTGAGATCATGTGATACTTATCTTTCTCTGACTGGATTATTTTGCTTAGCATAGTACCCTCCAGGTCCATCCATGCTGTTGCAAATCGTAAGAGTTCTTTCTTTTTTTTACAGCTGCCTAGTATTCCATTGTGTAAATGTACCACAGTTTTTTAATCCACTCATCTGCTGATGGGCACTTGGGCTGTTTCTAAATCTCAGCTATGGTAAATTTTGCTGCTATGAACATAGGGGTGCATATGTTCTTTCTGATTGGTGTTTCTGGTCAAATTCTTACTTCTTTATGTTGACTATATTCCTGCTCTCTTTGTTTAAAAGCATTTAGTATCACTTTGGGAAGAAATACGACCTACACATTTAGCCAACTATTTAGGGGAAAGGAAAGAGAGCACAGCTGGTGGGCAGAGCTGAAGCGGGGAGAGCTGCAGTTTGAGGCAGAGAGGAAAACAGGGACCCACGTTTCTATCTTTCTATTCTTTCATCTTCTGTTTGAGGATTTCATTTGCAAGGTCCAAGGTGGTCTAATTTGCCTGCCAGGCCTGCCGCTATGATGTTTGTGCTATAGGCAGTACAAAGGAATGGGGATGGAAAGGAGCACCAGCCCCTCATTCCTGTGCTTTTAAAGAGACTAACTGGAGGTCCCACAGAACACTTCTGTGATAATTTAGTCACAAATCCACAACTGGACTGGGATATATAATCCCTTATTTCAGGCAGTAATGTGCCCAGTTAAAAATGGAGTTCTGGAAAAATTGCCATTTTGCAACCATCATGGGAAACACTAATCTGGATAAGAATCACTAGAGAATGTTCAATCCGGGGAGGAAAGTCTGCTGAAGAGAACATTTATATGGTCTTAAAGTATTTCCTCCCAGATTGCTTATTGGTCACAGAGGGGGAAGTAAGTATACACTGGAGAAACCAAACAGCATCCTGACCCCGTGATGGAGATGGACATAACCAGCAGCAGGAGACGTCATGTGGCCTCCAGATGTGACCTTGTGAAGGACACGAAGTCGCTTCTGTGCTATTCCAGCTGGGAAGACATAACCTGAATCTAATCATGAGAAGGCACCAGACAAACCAAAACGAAGGAACAGTCTGTAAAAGAACCGACCTATCTAGACTTTTAAAAAATTGTCAATGTCATGAAAGATAATGGAAAGCTGATAAACTGTTCCAGATTAAAGGAGGCTAAAGAGACATAACAACCAAATTCAATTCATGATCCTGGACTGCAGCCTACACTGGCAGAAAACAAAATTCTATAGGGGACATTTGACTAAAGTGGTAGGGGTGTTTCGCAGAGAGAATGAATAGGACCTGCTAAGTGTTGAATCTGTTTTCTTCTCTACATCCCTAGAGCCACTGTCTTAATTCAGGCTCTCAGCATTTCTCCCCTCAGCCTATTTCTAGAACTTTCCAAGTAATATCACATTGTCTTTCCCTTCCAATCTGTCTGCCATATTGTCACCAGAGTGATTTTTTGAAGCACAAATAGGATTATGCCCTAGTCCCTGTCTTAGTCCATTCAGGCTGCTATAACAAAAATAGTATACACTAGATAACCTATAAACAACAGACATTTATTTCTCACAGTTCTGGAGGCTGGGAAGTCCAGGATCATAGCGCTGGCAGATTTGCTGTCTTTTGAGGACCCACTTCCTCACTGAGGGCCTCCTGTCTTCTGGAATCTCACATGGAGAAAGGGGCAAATGAGCTTTCTTGTCCTATTTCACAAGGGCATTAACCTCATTCATGAAGAATGGAACCATATGACCTGATCACCCTTGGAAGGCTCCACCTCCTAATACCATCACCTTGAGGATTAGGATTTTAACATATGAATTTGTGGGGACACAAAGATTCAATCTGTAGCACCCCTAATTAGAAATCCTCTGCGGCTTGCTATTGCCTATTCCTAATCTGCCATATGAGACCCTTCTCTGCATGGATCCAGACTTCCTTGTGGGTCATTTCTTTCTGGCACTCCCCTCTCAAATGGTTCCAATTATTGATTGGTCCTCCACCTTCAGTAGCCATGACATAACACCCAGGATGACATAATGAGGACAAGGATGGGATGGAATAAGCCAGTGAGATAGACAGTTACTTTAAAGCTTTTACCTAGTTTGAAATATAGGCGTGGCTATCATGTGAAATGACTCCATTCCAATTTTTTCAAAGAAATTAATTTTTCAGAGAAATAAAGAAGTGCCTACTACTTGTGCCAACTCAAGGAAAGGGCAAATGAAGATGGGCTTGTTGGCTGACTTCCATCCTAATATTTCCTGTGAGGTTATTAGATGCTGCCAGCTAAGGATCTCATTAGCTTAGTCCAAACTATTCTATCAACAGCCATTTTCCTCTGTCACAGCTGATGCTGAGAGTCGTGTGTCATAAAACGCCATATACTCCCAAAGTTTAGAACCCTGGCTGAATGAAAATAAATCACTGTTGTTGAATTAAGTGACCCATGGGATTCCCAAGAGAAGTTTCCTTTATATTTTATAGTTATGTGGTAAAAACTCATGATTTTCCATACCCATGTGGCTTTTCTGCTTATTCCCTATAATTTTTCTAAAACGTTATTCCATCATTCTATTCAATAAAAAAGATCGCTTACCTCATTTGCTCTCAGGAATAAGAAAGACTTGCTCTCAGGAATAAGAAAGTTTCACAGGAATTGCATTTAGCAATGAGATGATAGAATTCTTTTCCTCTGGACTTACCAAATAAGATTACCAGCAGACAAATGCTTCTCTAGAATTCAGGACAGAAGGCCCAGCTATTGTATATTTATTCCATAGATCAATATCTATACCCAAACTCACATTTTTAAGGCATCAGCTTTAACTGTTGCCAAGCATTCCCTTAAAAGTCAAGGCTCTATTGGTATAATGAACAGTATTAGAGGATTGAGAGTATACTTGTGAATTGCCTGAGTAATGCTTATTCATTTTGCACCATGGATTCTGTCAAGTAGAATTCCAATTGTGACCATACACCATGCTCATTTCTATGTAGAAGAGAGAATCTATGGCTCTCATAATAGCTCTGTATTTCAGAGGGATGCTGCTACATTATTTTATACCTAATCTATGTACTTGGTATGTCTTGATTTCTGCCTTGCCCTGTGAATTACAAAAGTAACTTACCTTATATTCTTGGAGTAGGGGAAGTAATATATCATTTGTGACAGCAGCAATTTCTGAGCCACAGATCCACTTAATATAAGTTATTATACTTAGACTCTAAAATCATCCAAGATTCCAGGAAATTTATGGAGAAAATAAGAGTTACCCTTTGACATTCCCGGAGAATAATACTGGTTCATCAATGTTGATATAAGTTTCCAAAGACTTGCCAAAAACTTTAAGTATTAAATGCTCCCACATGCAATAGATTAGTGATCTCGTTTTATAAGTACCGCGCTAACCGATTGCACCACTGGAGTTCCTAGTGATCACTTATTAATGGGACAGATGATATCTGCTCTACCCATCTCACAGGCTTGTGAGAATCTTATGAAGTAATTTATAGGAAAAAGTACAAAGTGTTATTTTAATATTAAATATTATTAAAAATAATAGTTTCTTTTTATTAAATTTATTGGGCTAACATTGTTAATAAGATTGTATAGGTTTCAAGTGTACAATTCTATGATATGTGTCTGTATCTTGCATTGTGTGCCCATCACCCAAAGTCAAGTCATCTTTCTACTGCTCCTGACTCTGACTCAGGAATGGTCCTGAAGACCATTCCTGTCCAGAGTAAAATGGACTGGCTCCGTGCTTCTGAATGTGGAGCCTCTACCCCATGTGAAAAGGCAAACTGGGAACTAGGTCACCGATCTGGAAGCCCAAAGAAATAAGTAAATGTTTCAAATGGTAACTGGGGCATAAACATCTTTGTGAATTGATATGGAAGGAGATCCGTCCTGTCAGTGCCCCAGTTAACACTCTTGTGATGGTCTGTTCTGACTCCGACTGTTCTTGAAGTGGTGCAAGTCTATCCACAGGCCTTTCTTTTCCCTGATTGTCTGTCTTCTCTTCCCATGAGCCCCTTTGTTGCTGGCTGATAAATTATGTCTCAATGTCGCTGTTGGCCTTTTGGCAGCTATGCCTGCAATTTTTAATAAACAGCTAGCACAAAGGAGTTGACTCTGATGGACCAATAGTCCAAGAATACACATCACAGAGAGACAGGCATCTTCAGTTAGTTCAACAGTCAGCTTGCTGGAGAGAGCTCCTGGAAGCAGATGAATTGGAGTATTGTGACTTTTTTGTTTTTGGCCATGATTTCGTTGTGTAAGGTTAGGCAAAGTGCAACTGCGCTGAGGCACTCTAGAGGAGAAGGGGTAAATGTCACGGGGCTGAATTTGTTCACTGAGCTCAGAAAGAGCCTCTGGGGGAACAGGGGAAGCAGCTGGAAGGTGAGAGGGGGCAGTAGATGGGCAAACTTACCCCCTCAAGATAAGTGGAGAAGGGTGCATAACGTGGCTGTGTGGTCTTAGCCCAGCTCAGGCAGGGTGGTAATGGGGCTGGACTTCCCATGAAGAATGGAGGGATAAGTGACAGGAATGGTGGCAGGGGTGAGGGGCACAGAGATGAAATTACATAACCTATTAGACACATTATTTAGTAATTAAAAGAGCCCAAGAGTCATGATTTTCTTTTTAGAGCTATAAAAAAAGGCAAATGTTAAAATATGAATAGCATGCAAACTCAAACCAATCATATCAAAACCTCAGGTACTCTGCCCTAGCCGGTTTGGCTCTGTGGATTGAGTATTGGTCTGCAGACTGAAGGGTCCCGGGTTCAGTTCTGGTCAAGGGCACATACCTTGGTTGCAGGTTCAATACCACCGCCCCCTCCCCAGCCCTGGTTGTGGCACGTGCAGGAGGCGACCAATGGATGTGTCTCTCATGGCGATGTTTCTCTCTGCCCCTCCCTTCCACTCTCTCTAAAAATCAATGGAAAAATATCCTTGGGTGAGAATTAAAAAAACAACACCAACAAGAACAGCAAACAACCCTCAGGTACTTTCTGTGGGCAGCCTAATTTCTAGTTCCTGAGTGAAACTGCGGGCATGTTCCTGCCCACGGGGGCAGAGGTGGGGTTTCATGGCAGTGGTGACGCCTGCAAGGTGTTCTGGCAATGCAGGGGAGAAAGTGACAGGTCGTGTATGGAAAAAAACTGGAATGCTTCCCTGGGCTTGGTGCGTTCACTGGGCAGGAACATTGAGGTGGGTGGGGCAGAGCAGGCGGGCATGAATTGTAGGGGAGGTACTGGGTCCCAAAACACCTTTACAAAATTGGAAAACCTGTGCCATTAATATTAGTGGGGAAACCATAGGACCCCCAATCTGTTGATCTGAAAAACATCTATTATATAATCTTTTACAGCATCTTTTTAGTCCCAAATGAGAATAATAAACCTTCTTCCCAAGACAATGTATAAAAAATGCTTAGCAGATATTGGTTACTAAGAAACATTTTTCACAAATTTAAAATTTAGTGTATAATTAAACCACAAATAAAGACTCTCCCCTTTTGTCAAGAAGGTAGGCCCAATAGGGATGCAGGATAAATGCAGAGCTAGTGCCAAGCTCTCCAGGAAGTAACTAGGTCTTGCACAAGGTGTTTTGAAAGAACTGCCAGACATGGGTGATTAACTACCCTGGGGGGAGGAGGGCAGACAAGGAAGAGAGAAAGCAGAATGAAGAGGCAGTCTGGAGGAGAAATAATAAGTTTTGCTTTAGGCATGACATGGTTGAGCTGATGGTAAGCCATCCAGCAGGCCTAGAGGAAGGTCAGGGCGAAAGCTGTCAATGAGTTATTTGCTTAGAAAGTGGGCCCTGAAGTCCTGAGGTGGGCGAGTCCACAAAGTGAGAGTGTGGGTTCAAAGAGGAGCATGGAGGTCAGAACAGTGGAGCCTCTCAAGTTAGGATGTGGGAAGAGAATGAAGTGCGGACAAAAGTGTTGAGAAGGTGGGTCTGAGAACTGGAGAAAACACACTATTGCTAGGTCTCTGACGTGGGGCAAGAAGAATTGGTAGCATCAATTGACCAGTAGATTGGCAAGGAAAAAGTCCTTGGGCGTGTCGAATTGAGTTCATAGATGACCTTTAAGGGCACAGCTTCATGAGATTTCTGAGGATGGGAGCCAGCCGGCAGGGTCTGAGGCATGACTGATGGTGAGGAAAGTCAGTGAAGATTTTCTTTGGCCAGGTTTGGCTTTAAATTCTAGCGCCAAATGGCAAAGATTAAAGGTCTGAGTCATCAGTGTGGAGTTCGGTTTAAAAGGTTCTGTGGGCCTTTTTTGAAAGGCAATTAGTGAACCAAAGGAAGGCAGTAAAGGTTCGTCAATATTTTTGTAAGCCTTTGAATTTTCAAAGCGCTTTTTAGCACAGCCCCTCTTGTTTTACACACTCCCAAGAAGCCCCTGGAGGCAGGTACCAGCATTTCCATCTTACAGATGGGGCCCTTAAAGGGGCTAGATGTTGTGGCTGGCTTAAGATGTCACCGCTGGTGTGTGGCCGCAAGGGGACTCAAATTCTGTCTCCTCATCCCCTGTGTTCTAAGATGTCATTTCAATTCACAGTTAACGAGGAGCTTTTAGGCAAAGAACTAGGATTCTAGGCCTCAGTGTTCTGTTTTGGGCCAAAGTCAGGACATGTGGTTACTTGCTGGGGATAAATATTCCATGTTTGTTTTGGTGAGGAGGATGGGTCACAGTCGGCCGGATTAGTGTGGCTCAGAAATGAGACAGAGTACATTTACTTCATTCCACCATGGAGGGTAGCTAGAACAGCCGCTCTTGGCAGCATCGGTCTCTCAGTAGGTTAACTAGAATGTGCCCAGTACCAATTGTATGCCAGAGTCCAGAGCGCTTCAGGGTACAAAGATCCATCATGTCCCCAGATAGTAACAGAACAGAGAGTGAAACAGAGAGTTGTGTACATACACACAATCGCTGTGGTAATTATAAAATTGCTTAGAAGAAATAGTCATTTAAAGGTTGTTTTGGCAGTGTTTGGCACAGTTTTCATTCTAAATGCATGGATGTTAGGTAAATAAAATTATCAAACGAACGAATAACAGATAAGTAATGAAAATCTAAGCGAGTTCAGTGGGGAATTAAAGAAGTACAAGCATAGAATGTGTACGTGTGTTGCATGTTGGAGGTGATGATGGGCAGATGGGGTTCAGTAGAAAGAGGAGGATGGCTGTGGGGATCTGGCCAGTTTGGACCAAGACTGAGAGGCAGTGGAGTGCAGAACAGATGCTGGAAGGTGGCCAAAGGCAGCCGGTGGGAATGAAATCTGCAGCTGAGGATAAATGAGGCTGGAAGAGAGCAACGAATGGCCAGTAAACAGCCAGTTGCCATGTTTTCTCCTCGTCTCCATCTCTGAGAGAAGCTCCCAGGCACATACCTTGTTCGGGGCTAAGGTTTTGACGGCTGTTGTTTGCAGTTGGAATTCTAATTTAGGCAACAGCTCCCTGCCAATTAGCCCAGCTTTTTCTGATGGTTTCTACGCCACTTCCCTGTCCTGGCATTCTACAAAAACCTTGGCTCAGAGAAGAGAATGTGTCCTTGAATGCAGACAAATTTTAGAGTGAGCAGCAGCATCCTTTTCCAAAAAGATGGAACTTTGTGCAGCCAGTAAGGCACAAAACATTAGGTTTGTGAATGTTGATCAAGCAGGACTCTGGAGTTTAATTTTAAAACAGAAGTACAAAAAAAGTCACATTTATTCTAAAGCATGAACTGTCACCATCTCATCTTTTTCATCTTACGCTCTTTTCTAACGTTTGAATTTTTATCAAGTATATGCATTACTTTTTAAAGAAGCCTAGAAACAAGTTTAACTTTGTTTAACCCAACAGATCTGAAATTCTATAATTCTATAATTCCTCTCCCCCCGCCCTCCCTATAACATCCAGAGTGCAATTTGGGAAATATTTTCCCAGGTTCACTTTCCTTGTACCATTTTTCAAGATCCAATAGTTTTCTTGTTTAAGTCTAGGAATGTACTGGTTTTAGAAGACTTTGATCCGAGGGTTACAGGGAAGCCCGTTTTTATAAACTTGACTTCAGCGGAATCACTGTAATTGAGTTCAGTTATGCCAAAAGGCTAAACGTTTATTAGTCTTTCCTGCCTTCCAAAAAACTCTGCTGATGCAAATCAAGTTGTTCTTTCCACAGAGCACTCACTTTTAGCTGACCTAAGTTTTTTTCCACCCTCTGTTTCCTATAAACCTGGCTCCCAGTTGTTCTGTGTTGCTATTCGCCTGCATCCTTGCTAAACTCTTTAAGATCGGGAATGCCGTTTTCTTGTTAGAACAAGCATTTGCTGAGAGTAGATGTGAAAGGCACTCTGCCAACACTGTCTCTCTTTCTTACAACAACCTGGCAAAGGTGATATTCCTGTTCCCATTCGACTGATGAGGAAGCGGAGGTCCAACAGTGACTTGGCCGAGGTTACTCAGCTTTGAAGGGATGGGCCTAGGATTCAAACCCATGTCTGTGACCCTCCAGAATAACTGTGCTCTTTCCGCTCGATTCTGATTCCTTACACTGTTCTGCTGCTCGAAGCAGGTCTTCTTTTTCCCCCGACAACTATTTCTCTGCTACTTGAAATGCATCTCCAACAAAAATGTTCCAACTCCTCAAGGTTTGTGCTAAAACAATCAGAGGTTGATAAAAATGCTCCTAATGGATTTTATAACAAAGATAATGCTTTCAAGATTCAAATCTTCTTCCTTATCATCTGTTCTAGTTTGAAACAAATTTGCAAGAAAACCCTGTGTGGTTTGAAACTATTATTATTTTAATCTCAGCGGAAGAGATACAACTGTCCAAACTAATTAAATTAAAATGCTATTTAGACTTGAAAGAGTTGCACGTCTAAGGGGATAAGATTCACAATCTCTCATGTGTAAGTTCTGCATATCCCAGCTGTCCAGGATGCTACACTGCATTAGTTGTGCGTCTCTTTAGACTCTTGTTGGCTCTGACAGTTTCTCAACTGTTTTCCACGACCTTGCCAGTTTAGAGGGGTGCATCTCTTTCAGTTGCCTCCTTACTCCCTTTCCTACCTAATTTGTGGCAGTAAACATTAGGGTGCCCTTTACAGTTTGGGCATAAACTTGTGAACAAATTACCCCAAATAGGAAATGTGGGAGCCCTGGACTGGGAGAGCCAGGAGCACAAGCAAATGCTAAATGAACCAGAGTATAGACAGTGTTGCCTGCGTATTACTATCTTCTTGTTTGTACTGCTTTTCCTTTTGCGTTTCCGCTTTCATTTTTTTTTTTTTTAAATCTTCTGTGACTAGCAAGTGCCTGAGAGGTGAGGGAATGAGATTTTTCAGCTTTTCACGGCCCTCTGTGCGTCTCTCTCCTCGGTGTCAAGAGCACAACTCGGGAAAAAACAAAGCCCAGTGGACCTGACTTTGGCTCACATGTGCGCACTTGCGGTCTTCATTTCTGGTCCTCGTCTTAAAGTCGAGAAATGCTTTGCTAGGCTTATTCTGGTATTTCCATAATCCCTGTGCCTGTGCCCAGAAATCTTGCTACAAGGTCCCTAGGAATGGATGATAAAGCCAGACTTCTGGTTTTATCATCACTGGGGCTTTCTTTGCATCCATAAAGTAAGATTTATGCTAAGCAAATGAATGTGTAGACTTTTTAATTTTTAAAATAACGTCCTTATCTTTCCCCCTTTAGGACTTACTGATTATGACAGTCTTTCAACATTAAGGTTTTAATGCCAAAATTGCTGCTGCTTTTTTTTTTTTTTCCAAGGGACTGGGTAACTACTTTTAGATAGTTCTGACTCCTCGGCTCATTTGCTAGGACAGCCAAATTTTGCCAGGGGTTTTGAGTTCATCTCTGTGAACTGGTCAGTGCCTCAGTTGGATAAATATGACATTGTTTCAACAGCAGTTGCCTGATTGATCATCTTCTCTAGCTGGTGTTATTGCTATTGTTGCCTTCTTGTCAGAATGTTGGCTTTCTTGAAGATGACTTGATTGTGTCAACTGCAGGGGAATTATACATTTCAGTTAAATCTTTCCCTATCTTGGCTCTATATGGATTTGCTTGTTTGGAACACATTTATTTATGACTGCTTACCCTTCTCATGGCTTCTCTCTTCTTTTGCTCTTTCTCCTCCACCTTCTCCTTTCTCCCCCCTCTATGCTGAGGTGAGGTGTGATTAAGTCAAATAAATGAAAGTGTGAAGAATGGTGTACATGCATGAAGTTCTCAGGGAGTATTTGTGGTGTGTTAATCCAAAATGACTTCTTCAGGGAAGTGGATTAGAGGGAGGGCAAAGGGATCAATTGTACAGTGGTGGATAGAAACTAGACTTTTGGTGGTGAGCGTGACGCAGTACAGTTGACCCTTGTACAACATGGCTTTGAACTGTGCAGGCTCACTTATAATGTGGGTTTTTTAATATAAATATACAGTCAGCCTTTTGTATCCCCAAGTTTCATATCTGTGGATTCAAGCTAACATAGGATGTGGAGGGCCAACTATATGCATTGTTCTATATCATCCTATGTAATAAAAGGCTAATATGCAAATTGTCCCCTCGACTAGGAGTTAAACCGGGAGGAAGTTCGACCAGGGGGCAGGGCTGGCCAACTGCCCGTGGCCCCTTCCCGCGGCCGGCCCGGCCGATCAGGGAGGGCTGGCTGGACCCCACCCGTGCACGAATTTGTGCATCAGGCCTCTAGTTTTATATAAAAGACTTGAGCAGCCATCAATTTTGGTATCTGTGGGGGTCCTGGAACCAATCTTCCAAGGATACCAAGGGATGACTGTAGTTAATTTTGGGGGAAATCAAAGGTTATACATTTATTATTTTTATTTTATTTTTATTTTTTAAAGGTTATACATTTAGATTTTGGGCTGCATAGGGGTCAGAACCCCTAACCCTCAGGTTGTTCAAGGGTCAACTATATATACAGATGTAGAATTATAATGTTGCACACCTGAAACTTATATAATGTTATAAACCAACATCTCCTTTAAAAAAAAAGAGAGAGAATTTTTTTGACCTGAGGCTATATTTGGGGATCGGGTGAGGAGGGGGGAAGAGGAAAGGGTTGGATGGGTATTTCTGAGTGAGAAATCTTCTGTCGTTATTTGCTTATACCAGGGATTGGCAAACTTTTTCTGTAAAGGGGCAGATAGGAAATATTTTAGGTTTTACAGACCATGCAGTCTTGGTTGCGACTACTCAGCTCTGCGGTTGTAACAGGAAGACAGACATAGACAATATGTCAATGAACGAGCATGGCTGTGTTCCAATAAAACTTGGTTTATGGACACTGATGTTTGAATTTTATATGATTTTCACCTGCCATTAAATGGTACTTAAAAATATTTTTAGCTATTTACACATGTAAAAACCATTGTTATTCTGTAGGTCATACAAAACCAGGGGAAGGGATAAGATGAGCCTGCAGGTTCTAGTTTGTTGACACCCCACTTAGTCCAAGATCCCTCTTCTACCAGCCACCAAACCAAACAAGAAATAAACAAGCGGCAAACTGAGAAACAGGGTTATAGGAGTCAGGGGCAGGTGTCCTCTGGAGGATCATGCCATGCAGGTAGCAGAGGGGCAGAACAGTGCTCCAGGCAGAGGGACATCGCTATGCCTACTAGAGCTGGAGGACAGTGTCGGCTAGGCTGCTGATGCTGAAACAGCTACCCTTTATAAAGCACTCACTGTGTGCTAGCCACTCTACTTGCAGTGTCTGATGAACGCTTCACTCTCTTATGTGGCAGGTGTATTGTCCCAGTGTAAGAGGTACAGAGCTGCCGAACACCTTGCCAGAGTCACACGGCTTGTAAGTAGCAAAACCAGGATGCGAGCCCTGGCCTGGCTGACCGGGCCCACAGCTTCCTTCCTTCCCCCTCCCCAGGATGGCCCCAATATCCTCATCCTGCTGGACTTATCCCTAAGCAAGTCTTATGCTAAATGGGAGACAGCTTTAAAAAACTGGCCAGTACCTGTAAGGATGAGCAAACGCTCTGAGCTTCTGACTTCCTCCCTCTGCCACTTTAGGAGTGGGCGGGTGGCGGGGGGGTAGTAGGAGGAGGCGGCATCAAAGAGGTTTAATGGGAGAGACCAGTGAGCTTGCTCCTGGCTCAGTTGTTTACTACCTGTGTGACTCACTTAGCTCCCTGAGCCCCCATTTCCTTGTCTGAAAAATGGGGAGTAAGAGTAACTGTGTGTAAGAATTGAATGGCTCACGAGGCTTGTGAGAATGTAATGAAACGATGCCTGCAAGCCACTGACATAGTGCTTGTCACAGAGGTACTCGTCAATGCTGGCACCCTTCAAGCGGCCATTGTTTGCTCATTCATTCCAAAAGCATCTATTAAGTGGCTGTTGTGTGCTGGGCACCACATAACTCAGGGATTACCACACGAGGCATCCAAGGAGCTGGCAGTCTAGCAGAGTAAGAGGCATATACGCAAAGAAGCCTGGCAAAGTGCCCCGGGAGCACATGGGACCAGAGAGCACTGGGGAAGAAGTGGCTATTTCCAAGTGAGTAGGTGAAGGGGCACGGAATCGGCGTCCGTCCGAGCAGATGTTGCAGAATTTATTCCCAGGGAACTCAAGCTGATCCCTGTCATTCCTGTGGCTGATCACTCACCAACATAAATCTTGTCTCCTGGAAAAGATTTTTAAAAAGCCATTTTTCCTAAAAGCATTAAAAAAAAAGTCTATGCAAATTTTGGAAAGCAAAACAGGAAACCAAATGATAGGCGAGGGAAAACACTCCTTCCTTCTCAAGTCTCCTGTGCTTGGAAGTTTCCTGCCAGGATGTTGACCAGAGAAGCAGCCTGACCGCGAGTCCGTTATTCCTCATGAGTTTCTTTAAAAAGAACCTGGTTTCATTTTTTTTTCCCCACATTCCGGTGGCCTTGGGAAACACCTCCTACAGAAATAGAAGTATTCAAAAGAGATTTGGGGAGAAGTGATTCCTTCTGGGTCTAAACTGCCCGTGGATAACATTGGCATACTGCCTTTGAGTCTGCGCTGAATTTTTGTACAAAGCACGTTACAGCCTGAAAGGGCTGGGGCAGGCTGTCGGAGTTTGAGTTCTGGCTCCACAATGAATACTAGTAGTTACATGACCTTGTGGCTATTGGGAGAGATGAACGATCCATGTAAAGTAATGACCATGGCACTTGGCCCAAGAAATGTTAGCACTTTATTATTCATTTTTATCTCCTTAGAATTCATCTATTACAGCCTCTGAGGCTAAGTACAAGTCTGGCCCGCCTTCCCCATGTGGGCCGGTCACTGCCGGTCACTCTGCCCCTTTCTTGGTTCAACATGCCATGTGTTCTCCCCTCCTCGGTCTTTTCACTGCTGTCCCTTTACATGACCACTCTCACCTCCTCGCTTCACCTCTGTGACTTTTACTCATCCCTTGCATCTCAGCTCAAATTGCGTGTTCAAGGAAGCCTCGTCTGACATCCCAGTCTAGGTTAGGTGTCCTGGTGAATGTGCCCGTAAGTCCAGTCTCTTTTTCATTGTGACATCGTCACACTTGTCGTTACTTGTTTATGTCCAATTTCATACTGGAACGGAAGCTACGCGAGAGCAGGGACCATGTGTCTCATTCACTGCGGGCCCCCAGCATCTAGCTCAGTCCCTAGAGTAAAATGGCACTCTATGGATAGCTGTTGACTGAGAGGTAGGCTGGCAGGTAGCCTCTTTTTGGGGGGATTTTCTGTTACTTGCAGTCAAAGCTAATCCTCAGTAACACAAAAATAAGGCAAAGGGTGCAGAGTAAAGGAGGAGAGCACAGAACAGTTTTCATATTGCCCCCAAATAACCAGGATGCGATAGCAATGTCTCAGAGGAAGAGCTGGTTGAGTTGGTCGGGTGAGTAAGATTCTGGCAGATCTGGGAGGCAAGGCCAAGGTGTTGTTTCAAGGCCGTGAGCAATGCAGAGTCATGAGTTACGTGCTGAGCATCAGCAATGCCCTCCAAAGCGTCTTCAGGCATTGGAGGGCATGGCTGACTGTAGAGGGGAGAGAGGCATCAGAAGGGCTATGGCAGCGTGAACCAAGGGTTGGCTGCTGGAGCTCAGAGCGAGAGGAATGGAGTGTGGGAAGGATCTCACAGCTTTGTTTCTGCGCAGTGAGGACAGAGATTTCATAAGGCTCACATTGCTGGTGTATAATTCACTGAATTTAACAACATAACAATGATAATGGAATTATTTTCCTTTTATAAACAACTCAGAGAGAGAGGGGGTTACTAAGGCAGGGTCATGGAGACCTGGACAAACCAGCTCTCAGTGCTTTGGGTAGCCTTGGCCATGGAGTCAAATCTGGAGTTATCCGAGAAAGAGAGCGTTATTTTGTCTCAGCTTTAAGACAAGATTCTAGGATGGAATATTTGTTTTAAAAATTCTTTTCATTAAGAGCTGGAGAATAATTTTGAGCTATTATGAAGTTACAACCTCTTAGCTTGCTTTTTTAAGTTTTATGACACAATGGCAGAGAAAGCCAGAGAAGCCCCTATATCTCCACTCTTCTTATCTCCTTCAGTAACAGAATCTCTGGTTTTCCAGCTGGAAATATGGATACCCAGAAAACACACCTTATTTAGCAGCTTCCCTTGCGAGATGTGGCCCTGTTGCTGAGTTCTAACTAACGAGATGGGGGCAGAAAGATCATGTGGAAGCATCTGGTAATTTTCCTTAAGGCACCCCGTGTCTGCTCTCTGCCCTCTCTCTTCTTTGACCCTTCCTCTGTCTTGCTGCTACCACACGGATGTGGCCACTCCTAGGGATGACAGAGTGAGGGGACAAAGCGGGTTGGAGCCTTGAGGACTGCAGAGTCGCCACACCAGCCCTGGACTGCCTACCTGGACCTTCAAAGGAGCCTGAAATAATTGCATATTTGTGTTCGCCTCTCTTTGGGCAGATTTTCTGTTACTGGCAGTCAAAACTAATCCTCAGTAATACAAAACCCAAAATTTGGTTCTATTAACTCACGTACCTTATTACAAATATTTTAAAACTTCTCTCCTCATTCATTCTGCCCTCCCCACCATCTGTCTCACATGTCATTGATAAATGATCTCTTAAAGTCCTGGCTGGATCATATCACCTCTCACCTCTTGTAACCCATGTTTGAAATCTTCAGTGTCTTCCCTTTTCCCTCTCACCATGTTACGCCTCCCCAGCCTGGTATGTAAGGGCTGCGATCTACACCCACCCTACCTTCCCAGCCTTCCTGCAGCACTCCTTCTGCTTGGCTTAAACGGCCCTCTTTTCCTGAACGGTCGATCTTCTTCTCTGTCTCTCAAAGTTCTCCACAATCAAGGCCCATCTGTACTATCCCCTTTCCCAGGCACAGGACAGGACCCCTCTCTCCACGCTACATCCACACCACTGAGTCTCTCTCACCTGACAGTTATACTCCGGGTGCCCTTTAATTATTCTGTCCTTATTTTATTTCCATCCTAGAGAGCAAATTTTGTGAAAACAGAAACTATATTGATTCCTCTGTGTAATCTCTACTGCACTTGTTTAGGACACAGGCCTAGTAGTTAGTTGTGGGGTTGAATGGCCAAGGCTTCTTGGGATAGAAAGAAATCAATAGGATTCATGGGTGATTGATTTGCTTTAGATTTTACTGTTCAATTTCTTTCATGTCTTCCAGTTCTTCTTGAAACAAAACCCTATACTGTCTTGCATATTTAGTTCTCTTCTCTTATTAAATTGTAACCTCTTGATATCAGAGACTTTTTGTGCGTGTTTTAAAATATATTTTTATTGATTTCAGAGAGGAAGGGAGAGGGAGAGAGAGATCAAGACATCAATGATGAAAGAGAATCATTGATCAGCTGCCTCCTGACAAGGCCCCATTGGGGATTGAGCCCGCAACCAGGAACTGTTTTAAACTTATTTTCTATTTCCTCCCTGTCGTCTCTCCACCCCTACCCCTAATAGTTCCTACCTCAGTATCAGACTCGCTGAATTGTTTAAAATCAGGAACTGTTTTAAAGTTATTTTCTATTTCCTCCCTGTCTTCTCTCCACCCCTACCTCTAATAATTCCTACCTCAGTATCAGACTCGCTGAATTGTTTAAAATACTTGTTAAAGAAATGAATGTATGAAGTCAAGGTACCTCTTCCTTGACATTGTTCACATTTCTTTTCCCAAACCTTGTTTTTTCTTTTCCACATTCAGGACTTCCACTCATTCTGATGCCCTCAGCTTTCTTCTGCTAAGTTGCCCAAGCATCATTCTTCAGGGACCATTCCCAGCTCTTTTAAGAACTCCCAGGTGTCCAAGAGCCAAAGAGACAAAATAAGCCAGCCTTTCTTTAGTCTCCATAAAATGAAAAAGTGGTGCAGGACCCAACGGCTTGAGGTGCTAAATACTGTTTAAAAGGCATGATCCTAACACAGGCAGGGTTTTTGATATCTACATGGATATGTTTAATTTTTTATATATTTAAATAAAAAACTGATATGAGGCCAACAAGAATAATGCTATGCGGTCAACACTCCAAGATAAATATTGTTTCTATAGCCAATCAAGGTCTGTTCTTGTTTGGTTTTTGTCTGAGCATATCCTACCACTTTTCAAATTGGAATTAAAAGTAGATTACAGTCTGTTCATTTTCTGATTGCAGGCTTTCAAAGTATCACCAGGAAACATGCCCAGGAAGAGATTCTCTTGTTGCTTTGAAACAAAGCTGGGAATGATGCCCAGGACAGCACCCCCAGCAGAGGGTTTATAGCCAGTAGATTCCCCATGGAGACTGCCAAGGAGAAGGATTTCGTTTCCAATGACCACACTGTTTCCTAGCAAAGCTTTCTCCATCTACTTTCCCTGGCATCCCTCTTGGATGGTGTCGTGTCTGATCAAAACATACTCACTTATAAAACTCCCAAAAATGAACACAAAAGAATAATACTACGAGTTTGAGTGGCTTCACTATCTGCATACTTTTTCTACACCTTTTCCGTAGAAGCAACATCACTTTGAACAGCCCAGGGGAGCAGGAACTCGTGTCAGGTGGAGACTGCCTAGCTCTTCGATCACTCTTTTTCTCCTTCTTCCTGGGCACACAGCTAGATTTCATTTCCCAGCTTCCCTTGCAATTGGGTGTAGCCCTATGGCTGACTTTTGGCCAATGAAATATGAGTAGCCTGGCCCATAAAACCTCCCCAGGCTCCAGCATCTTTCCTCTTCTGCAAGGCTGATACAGAGTGGTAGGGCAGCCCTGGAAGCTGTGTATTAGAGATGGTGGAGCCACATTGGGAAGGAATCTGGGTTGGACTTGACCATGGTGAAAAATGAAGTTCAATTGTGATATTAAAGAAATTATATATTTTTATAATTGTTATCTTAATTAAAATACCCATTAACCTTTATTTATTATCATTAAACAAACATGCCTAAAGTTGGTGATAGCAGAAAGTAAAGTTTTAAAAATTCATATACTGTTAGTTAGCACTGCATATCCTGAGTCAATGCTAGGAAACATCAAATGGAGGTGCCGTTCTCAGCCATTACATGAAAATCTGACGTAATTAACTCCTTCTTTTCTAATAGGTACTAATGCTGCTAAACTTGTGCCGCTTTTTAGATAATTTAAAAAAAAACCAATAAAACAAAAATCAGCATTCTATTGACAGTGAAATCAGCTACAATATTCGCGAGATAAAAATGAAGCTATTGCTCAGCTATAAATATTCTCAGTTCTGTGATCAAACAGAACATTTCCCCCAAGGGTCCAAATAAACAGGAAACTACATGATACAATGGACAATATCCTTAACAGACAACACAGCCTGCCAGCTATCCAGACTCTCTTAAACAAGCCACAAGCACATATACAAGGAAATAATTTGAAAATGATTAAAACTAGAGATTAATTTGTTTCTAAAAATAGATATTTCTTGACAATTTAAAGGTGTATTACTGTAACAAAAATCAAGACTAAGGCCCCATTTTTTTTTCTACTCTGGTTATTCCACACTCTGCTTTTGGCATTTGAAGATGCTAAAAGGTTATGGGTTTCTAAAAGTTTTTTTATGCACAAACAGGCTGTTGTCAGCTTTGCACTTACACACCGTCACAATTTCCCTTTCTTGCTCTCCCACAACAACGCGTTCTGCCATGTGTGGTTTGCAACTGCCCCAAGAAACACTTTTATCTAAATGGAGTGACACACATTAGATTGTGAAATTGAAACTACTCATGAATAGATGTCTTTCAAAATGGATTTTGTAGATCTTTCCTCACCGCCCCCTCCCAATTTAAAACTGAAACTTCTATTAAATTTCCATGAAAAGAACCCGTGGAAACAATAAAAACAGACTTTACACAGAACTAAAATACACAGGAGAGAGAAGAGAGGGAAATGGTGGCTATTATATAGAAGTATTAGAGTAAATATTAATGGAGCAGAGGATGGGTATACTAGTATAATAAAGTTCTATCCCAACATTGTATTAGTTGGTGTATGCAAGCAGCAAAAGACTTACTAAAAGTGTTTTTAAACAAATAGGGGTTTATATTTCTTACACAATATAAAGGCTGGAAGTGAGCAGTTGATGGTGTTGAATCATCAGCTCAGTGGGGTGTTGTCAGGGTTAATAACCCTCAGTTCTCTTGGCCTGTCCTTATCAGAGCAAGATGACTGCCCCCGAGGCTGCCGTAGCTGCTAGCCTCACACCACTCTCAAGGAAGGAGGAAGAGAGAAGCCGCTCACAATAGCAACATTTTCTCTCGTGTCACAAAAGCTTTCTGTGTGTAGCTGTGTCACGTGGCATTTCCTAGATGCAAAGGAGTCTGAGAAAGTGAGTGATTGTTGGAGACAGGCAAGAGAGAATGGGAGGGCACGCTGGTGTGTCAGCCACACGCGCCATACGACTGGATGGCTTGTAGCGCTCATGCCTTGTTGATCTCATAGCACATTCTTGAAGCCAAATGATGCTACATGACATGCTTTTCTTAGTCCATGTTCCGATAAGGACCATGAGTAGAATTTCATGTTTTAGAGAAAAGTAATGCTGAACTTTTCTTATTAATTGTGTCCTGCCATCAAGTTGTGACTACCCGTCAGCTCCTCTCCTCTGTCCCTACCTCAGACATTCAAGCACTCACAATTAAATCCTATCTAAACTCTCTAAGAAAACACGCCAAATCACCCAGAAACTTGGGTGAGAAGAAACTCCCTGGTTTCTGAGCATTTAATCTATTCTAAGGCAGCACTTAGAAAATCAGTTAGCAAAGAGATTTCTAGACAGTAACAATTATAAAAAAAAGAAAATCACAATATACAAAATTTTTAATGTTCACTATAACCTGTTAAAAGAGATGGGAGCTTTGAACAATAAAGCCGTCTTCCCCTGTTACACTGTGATAGGTAACGCGTGCATTTAGAATGGATCCAAGAGGACCATTGCTTTCCTAGTTGTGGAATCTTCACGATGGGGAGATAACTTACAATACAAGGAAACACAGCCACTTCCTGCTGAAAAAGAGCAATGGCAGCCCATCTCTCCGCCTCACTCCACCCCCACGGGCCAAGCTCTGAAACAGAGCGGCGAATTATATTTAGCTGTAGCTTCAACGGCTCTGATTTGCCTCCGATTCCCTGCTGTGTGTGCAGCAGCTGAGTGAACTGTGCCGGAGAAGAGTGGGCTTAGTAATTCCGGGCTACGTTCAGTTACAATGAACAGAATGTCTAGCAGAATTTCTCCTCTGCGATAGCTTATTATGTTAAAGCAAAGGAATTAATTACAGGACAGCCACTTGCTTGATTGCACCTCTGAGTCGCATTCCTGCTAAAGACTGGGCAAGCTGTTTATAATATGCTGGCTGAGTTGGAAAGCATGCCCCCCTGTTATGGGGGCCTCTCAAACGGAATAGAAGAAAGAGTGCATACAGAGAGGGAGAAAATTGGGTCCACATGGTGAATTGTATACAATGAAATTGCCTCCTAGAAAAGGGCTGCATGCTCCCCAGCTCAGGTTAAGTTCTACCTCCAAGAAACACCTTCAAAGGGAAAGACTCTTACTGAGCTCGCAGTCTGGAATCCACTTTCAAAAGCCCATGTATGCAGCCACAAGAGGGAACGAAGCACCGACCATGATGAGACGAGGACAAACCTTAAAGACATGATGCTAAGTGAGAGAAGCCAATACAAAGACCACGTAGCATATGATTCCACTTATGTGAAATGCCCACCACAGGAAAACCCATAGAGACAGAAAGTGGATTAGTGGCTGCGAGGGGTTGGGGGAAGAGGAAAGTGAGGAGTAATGGCTAATGGGTACAGGGTTTCTTTTTGGGGTGATAGAAATGTTCTGAAATTAGACAGTGGTGGTAGCTGCACAGCATAGTGAATCTACTAAACCCCCCTAGAGCATATACTTTAAAATGGTGAATTGAATGTTATATGACATATATCTCAATTTTTTAAATGCTAAAAAAAATCTCACATACGAGAGGATGATAATGGAAAGACAATGACTAAGGATATCAAAGGACTTTTGTATACCTAAC